CATTATTTGCTAAATATTAAGTAACTAACTCATTTTTATATTCACAAAGTATATTTTACACCCCTTATGGTGTTTCATTTCAAGCAGTAATTGAATAATTGTTTAACATACATCCATTAATTTTTTTAATTCACATAGTTAACATAGGTGATAGTTGTACGTTTACATCTATTTTCCCTTTTTTCTTGGTATGAATAATTAAAATATATGTAAGAAAAATATACCACAAGTATATCTATTATTATTTTATAATTAATTATTTTAAGTGAGTTAACATGTGTCTATAATTTATTTTATAAGATACTTTTAGGTCTATTTATTATTTTAACTTGGTTCAATAAAAATAAATATATTTTTATTTTATTTACAATACATTGACCAAATCAAACATGATGGGAAAGAAATAATGTGATATTATATATCACATAAATAAAAAATATTAATATTTCAAAATAAAAAATTTAAAAAATATAAAAAGAATTAAGACTAACATACTGATTTCTAATACAAAAGAAAAAAAATTATAAATATGCATCTTAAGTATGTTTTAATTTATCATTCGCTAGCTTCAATTGATATAGGACATTTATTAATTTTATTATTATTATTATTATTTTTTTTTTACTTTTGGATGGAATGTGAGCTATAAGCTTTCTTGTTGTGTAGTATTATCTGTTTTTTTTATACGTAAAACATCATTCTTACCTCTTGTTTAGTTATTACAATACTAATAAATAAAAACGAACTTTTTCAACCTAGATATATCTTTTTTAAAAAAAGAAACACTAATTATCATAAGTTAAATCATAAATACATTGAATATGTTATATTTTGTATCACTGCCAATAATTTTCAAAATAGTTAACTGCACACAATATTATATATAGTGCAAAAATGTTTAATTTGATTTGGAGTCACTTTTACTGTAAACAAATGATAAAATTCCAATGAAACATGTTACAACGAAATTTTAATGATTTTTTTTATAAGAAATTGCTTTGTGTGAATAATACAAATACATATATAGATGAGTAATGATAATATAGCGAGATTGTTTATTGTTAAAATTGAATTAATTTTCAAAGTATATAGGCATATCATGATTATTCATATATTTTTAATTAATTTATAGATAATC